TCTCCTCGCAACCTTGAGGCTTCAGCCTGGATATCCACACACAATGTTCAGCTCCATCAGCCACTCGCTCTTGTGTTATGCTCATGCGCTCATGTATCGCCTTTCTAGGCAGGGCACCACTGTCATGGTTTAGACCCTCTCATTGAGAATGAGCTTTGACCTTGGTAGAAGTCGTTCTTCCTCTTTTGTCATCTTCCTTCTCTCACTCACCCCTCCCGCGTTTAGCAGCAGACTCCCAGTGCTTAAGGACCAAGGCTCTTCCCTCCAACAGAGACCACAGGCAAAGCTGGAAACACACGGGGGACCAACGCATTTCATGGCCAATAAAGTTGCCCTTCTTCCTGCCATGACTTTGCCACCACTTCTGCTTCAGCTATGCAATTGGCTGTACACCAGGCAGGACTAAATACTTGACAGGATTTCCACAGGGGACACAACCCTGCTCAGCTGTGAACAGGATCCATGACTCTTTGTAAGGACAGTCTCAGGAGTATGGCACAACAGATACCTCCTAATCTACCGAAAGCACAATCAGAAGAGCAACACAAAGATTTTCCTGCATGTGATGGGGGGAATGAGAATTGAGGTGGCGAGGTACCACTCCCTCAGCCTTTCCAGCTTGGGACATGCTTGAAAGGACAAAAGCATTGCTGTTTTGTATGTCTCTAGCCACATCCTGCAAAGGACCTGTATGGGATTTCTGGAGGATTTAGTGGAAGTTATCCCAGCTTCTAGCAGGAGAAACAATCTAGATGACATGTAAAGTTCATTGAAAATCTAACACTTCAATGATTCACAAGACAACTGCTGCAGGGTGCATTCCCTTCAGACATAGTAACATACAGAAGGACTCAGCAGCGCTTTTGTGCACAAGACTGCTCCGAGTGGGGCAAAGATGCTTTTCCTGCTCCCTGCTCACCCTCCTTTCCAGCACGTAACAACACTGTAATATCTTTACATGAATTCCATATGCTCAGAGCCCGTTCCTACAACTTTTACACATCCATGATAAAACCCTTCCCAAATGTGGAACAATCCAGCAGAGAGGTCACATCTCAGTTTACAGTTCCCCTGACTGACTCCTTTTGCACTCTCTCCACTACTATGATTTGCAAAAATGGCTTGGAGGAGGGAAGGGCAAGGGCATATTGTGAGTGGCAACATAGTTATAGTCTTGGACAAGTGGGTCTTGGCTTGCATAGAAACGTCTTCCAGCAGGTTATTGTATTGCATACTCAAATGGAATCCACTATCCAATCTCATTTGTGGTTCCCATGTGCCCTGGCAGAGCTCCTTGCCAGCCTTTGTATGTTCAGAAAATACAACACACTTAGCGTCTCTTTCAGTGACCATAGTCCTTGAATGCATTCAGCTCATCCCACTTGAGTGTACTCAGCACATCCAGGCAGAGAAGTGATCTAACACTGACCCTTACCCACCCAATGTCTCTCCCTTCAAGGCATCCTGATTTCCCTTGGACAGTTTGCCCAGGCATCACATTTTCCTCTGAATAGCTTGACTGGAAATCCCAGAAGGGAATGAACAGGAGGAGAAACAAAATACAATGCAGCATAAACTTTAATGAATAAAAAGAGGGGAAGAAAGCAGTGCATCCTGAAAGAGATAATGTCCAGGCTGCTACAAGGGCACCTGACACTCAGGCACCTCTTCACAGCAGCAGGACAAGCATCTTTCTCCGATACACATGTGCAGAGGGTCGAAATCAGAAACCCTCTCAACTTGATTCAGGAGGAACACATGGCACAGGACAGCAGGAGACAAAAGGGACTCATGTTTCAGATAGCAAAGCAGGAGAAGACTTCAGCTGGCTATGTTTCCAGACAGCGCAGGCTGGCACCTTGCTTGTCTCCCTCCCTTGCAGAAGGACACAAGGATTTTCAGCCTGCCTGGGAACTCTGGCCAGCAGCAATGTCTTCAGTCCGGCACCTGGCTTTGGGCATCCTGCTCCATGCACTCACTAGACATCCAACCTGGGTTTAGCACGGCAGGCTCCTTCTGCCACAGTAGCGGCCACCAAGACCAGAGAGGCTGAAGCCCCCAGAGTTGATGGGCACTCCCTCCTCACTCAGGATGCTGCCAACAGCAGCAGAGGTGGAGGATCCCACGGCGGTGTTCTGGGGGAAGGAGCTGAGGATGGGTCCGGGCAGGGTCACCACCACAGGAGAGGGCTGGATCACCACACGGGAGTCCTGGCACTGCCTGACACAGGGCTCGTTGCAGCTGTTGGCCAGTGGGGTTGGCCCACAGGGACGGCACAGATCGTAGCAGGACATGGCTGTGGGATGGAGGTGGACCTGGGAGAGACGGCAGGGGAAGCACAATCAGCAGGCAAGAATCACCCTCACGGCCTACAAAGCCAGAGCAAAGGTAAAGGCTTGGAAAAGGGGACAGCCCCTGTAGGTAGGAAGTGAGATCCGGGACACCCAATCCATAAGCATCCCCTGAAAAGAATTGTCCTCCACCTTCCATTGCTGTTGCAAGGATATCCAAAACTTAGAACACAAACAGAAAGGGGCTCAGTGATACAAGAAGACAGAGGAGAAGAGGAGAAAGAGTGGGAAAAGGCAGTTGTGTCTCACCTTGCTTACCAAGGAGGAGAAGGCAAGAGAAGTGGATGACAAAAACAGCAGCAGGACTGGCTTTTATACTCCTCCAGACTGCCCCAGGCCCAGAGGCACCCTTTGAGTATGGAAGGTGTTTACCAGCAAGCTCATCTTACATGCAAAACATCACAATTAAAGAAATGGGAATGGTTCTTCATGTTCCCTGGAACACTTCCTTTTCATTTCCCTGTTCATGACGTGCCCAGTCAGCCACACAGGCTCCTTTCAACAGACACTATTAGAACCCGAACATTTTCAGGGGAAATGACTAGTCAGCACAAGCAGATGATGCAGCCAGTGATGAGGAGTGTCCTAAATCTCCAGGTGAAGCCAGATTCTTGCCCTGCAGGACATCACTTTAAAGTGTTTCCTAATATATGTGGCCCATCTCCTCGTAACCTTGAGGCTTCAGCCTGGACATCCACACACAATGTTCAGCTCCATCAGCCACTCGCTCTTGTGTTATGCTCATGCGCTCATGTATCGCCTTTCTAGGCAGGGCACCACTGTCATGGTTTAGACACTCTCATTGAGAATGAGCTTTGACCTTGGTAGAAGTCGTTCTTCCTCTTTTGTCATCTTCCTTCTCTCACTCACCCCTCCCGCGTTTAGCAGCAGACTCCCAGTGCTTAAGGACCAAGGCTCTTCCCTCCGAAACAGAGACCACAGGCAAAGCTGGAAACACACGGGGGACCAACGCATTTCATGGCCAATAAAGTTGCCCTTCTTCCTGCCATGACTTTGCCACCACTTCTGCTACAGCTATGCAATTGGCTGTACACCAGGCAGGACTAAATACTTGACAGGATTTCCACAGGGGACACAACCCTGCTCAGCTGTGAACAGGATCCATGACTCTTTGTAAGGACAGTCTCAGGAGTATGGCACAACAGATACCTCCTAATCTACCGAAAGCACAATCAGAAGAGCAACACAAAGATTTTCCTGCATGTGATGGGGGGAATGAGAACTGAGGTGGTGAGGTACCACTCCCTCAGCCTTTCCAGCTTGAGACATGCTTGAAAGGACAAAAGCATTGCTGTTTTGTATGTCTCTAGCCACATCCTGCAAAGGACCTGTATGGGATTTCTGGAGGATTTAGTGGAAGTTATCCCAGCTTCTAGCGTGATAGTTAATCTAGATGTCATTTAAGGTTCATTGAAAATCTAACACTTCAATGATTCACAAGACAACTGCTGCAGGGTGCATTCCCTTCAGACATAGTAACATACAGAAGGACTCAGCAGCGATTTAGAGCACAAGACTGCTTCGAGTGGGGCAAAGATGCTTTTCCTGCTCCCTGCTCACTCTCCACATGCTTTCCAGCAAGTAACAAGACTGTAATCTCTTTAGAAGAGTCCCGTATGCTCAGAGCCCGTTCCTACAACTTTTACACATCCATGATAAAACCCTTCCCAAATGTGGAACAATCCAGCAGAGAGGTCACATCTCAGTTTACAGTTGCCCTGACTGACTCCTTTTACACTCTCTCCACTACTATGATTTGCAAAAATGGCTTGGAGGAGGGAAGGGCAAGGGCATATTGTGAGTGGCAACATAGTTAAAGCCTTGGACAGGTGAGTCTTGGCTTGCATAGAAACGTCTTCCAGCAGGTTATTGTATTGCATACTCAAATGGAATCCACTATCCAATCTCATTTGTGGTTCCCATGTGCCCTGACAGAGCTCCTTGCCAGCCTTTGTATGTTCAGAAAATACAACACACTTAGCGTCTCTTTCAGTGACCATAGTCCTTGAATGCATTCAGCTCATCCCACTTGAGTGTACTCAGCTCATCCAGGCAAAAGGTGACCTACCACTGACTCCTACCCACCCAATGTCTCTCCCTTCAAGGCATCCTGATTTCCCTTGGACAGTTTGCCCGGGCATCACATTTTCCTCTGAATAGCTTGACTGGAAATCCCAGAAGGGAATGAACAGGAGGAGAAACAAAATACAATGCAGCATAAACTTTAATGAATAAAAAGAGGGGAAGAAAGCAGTGCATCCTGAAAGAGACAATGTCCAGGCTGCTACAAGGGCACCTGACACTCAGGCACATCCTCACAGCAGCAGGACAAGCATCTTTCTCCGATACACATGTGCAGAGGGTCGAAATCAGAAACCCTCTCAACTTGATTTAGGAGGAACACACGGCACAGGACAGCAGGAGACAAAAGGGACTCATGTTTCAGATAGCAAAGCAGGAGAAGACTTCAGCTGGCTATGTTTCCAGACAGCGCAGGCTGGCACCTTGCTTGTCTCCCTCCCTTGCAGAAGGACACAAGGATTTTCAGCCTGCCTGGGAACTCTGGCCAGCAGCAATGTCTTCAGTCCGGCACCTGGCTTTGGGCATCCTGCTCCATGCACTCACTAGACATCCAACCTGGCTTTAGCAGGGCAGGCTCCTTCTGCCGCAGTAGCGGCCACCAAGACCAGAGAGGCTGAAGCCCCCAGAGTTGATGGGCACTCCCTCCTCACTCAGGATGCTGCCAACAGCAGCAGAGGTGGAGGATCCCACGGCGGTGTTCTGGGGGAAGGAGCTGAGGATGGGTCCGGGCAGGGTCACCACCACGGGAGACGGCTGGATCACCACACGGGAGTCCTGGCACTGCCTGACACAGGGCTCGTTGCAGCTGTTGGCCAGTGGGGTTGGCCCACAGGGACGGCACAGATCGTAGCAGGACATGGCTGTGGGATGGAGGTGGACCTGGGAGAGACGGCAGGGGAAGCACAATCAGCAGGCAAGAATCACCCTCGCGGCCTACAAAGCCAGAGCAAAGGTAAAGGCTTGGAAAAGGGGAGAGCCCCGTAGGGAGGAAGCGAGATCCTGGACACACAATCCCTAAGCACACCCTGAAAATAGTTGTCCTCCACCTTCCATTGCTGTTGCAAGGATATCCAAAACTTAGAACACAAAGAGAAAGGGGCTCAGTGATACAAGAAGACAGAGGAGAAGAGGAGAAAGAGTGGGAAAAGGCAGTTGTGTCTCACCTTGCTTACCAAGGAGGAGAAGGCAAGAGAAGTGGATGACAAAAACGGCAGCAGGACTGGCTTTTATACTCCTCCAGACTGCCCCAGGCCCAGAGGCACCCTTTGAGTATGGAAGGTGTTTACCAGCAAGCTCATCATACATGCAAAGCATCACAATTAAAGAAATAGGAACTGTTCTTCATGTTCCCTGGAACACTTCCTTTTCATTTCCCTGTTCATGATGTGCCCATTCAGCCACACAGGCTCCTTTAAACAGACACTATTAGAACCCGAACATTTTCAGGGGAAATGACTAGTCAGCACAAGCAGATGATGCAGCCAGTGATGAGGAGTGTCCTAAATCTCCAGGTGAAGCCAGATTCTTGCCCTGCAGGACATCACTTTAAAGTGTTTCCTAATATATGTGGCCCATCTCCTCGTAACCTTGAGGCTTCAGCCTCGACATCCACACACAATGTTCAGCTCCATCAGCCACTTGCTCTTGTGTTATGCTCATGCGCTCATGCATCGCCTTTCTAGGCAGGGCACCACTGTCATGGGGTTTAGACACTCTCATTGAGAATGAGCTTTGACCTTGGTAGAAGTCGTTCTTCCTCTTTTGTCATCTTCCTTCTCTCACTCACTCCTCCCGCGTTTAGCAGCAGACTCCCAGTGCTTAAGGACCAAGGCTCTTCCCTCCCAAACAGAGACCACAGGCAAAGCTGGAAACACACGGGGGACCAACGCATTTCATGGCCAATAAGGATGCCCTTCTTCCTGCCATGACTTTGCCACCACTTCTGCTTCAGCTATGCAATTGGCTGTACACCAGGCAGGACTAAATACTTGACAGGATTTCCACAGGGGACACAACCCTGCTCAGCTGTGAACAGGATCCATGACTCTTTGCAAGGACAGTCAGAGGAGTATGGCACAACAGATACCTCCTAATCTACCAAAAGCATAACCAGAAGAGCAACACAAAGATTTCCCTGCATGTGATGGGGGGAATGAGAATTGAGGTGGTGAGGTACCACTCCCTCAGCCTTTCCAGCTTGGGACATGCTTGAAAGGACAAAAGCATTGCTGTTTTGTATGTCTCTAGCCACATCCTGCAAAGGACCTGTATGGGATTTCTGGAGGATTTAGTGGAAGTTATCCCAGCTTTTAGCAGGAGAATCAATCTAGATGTCATGTAAGGTTCATTGAAAATCTAACACTTCAATGATTCACAAGACATCTGGTGCAGGGTGCATTCCCTTCAGACATAGTAACATACAGAAGGACTCAGCAGCACTTTTGAGCACAAGACTGCTCCGAGTGGGGCAAAGATGCTTTTCCTGCTCCCTGCTCACTCTCCACATGCTTTCCAGCAAGTAACAACATTGTAATATCTTTAGATGAGTCCCATATGCTCAGAGCCCGTTCCTACAACTTTTACACATCCATGATAAAACCCTTCCCAAATGTGGAACAATCCAGCAGAGAGGTCACATCTCAGTTTACAGTTGCCCTGGCCAAAAGCTTCCCTTCATCTCCTTTTGCACTCTCTCCACTACTATGATTTGCAAAAATGGCTTGGAGGAGGGAAGGGCAAGGGCATATTGTGAGAGGCAACATAGTTATAGTCTTGGACAGGTGGGTCTTGGCTTGCATAGAAACGTCTTCCAGCAGGTTATTGTATTGCATACTCAAATGGAATCCACTATCCAACCTCACTTGTGGTTCCCATGTGCCCCGACAGAGCTCCTTGCCAGCCTTTGTATGTTCAGAAAATACAACACACTTAATGTCTCTTTCACTGACCATAGCCCTTGAATGCATTCAGCTCATCCCACTTGAGTGTACTCAGCTCATCCAGGCAAAAGGTGATCTACCACTGACCCTTACCCACCCACTGTCTCTCCCTTCAAGGCATCCTGATTTCCCTTGGAGAGTTTGCCCAGGCATCACATTTTCCTCTGAATAGCTTGACTGGAAATCCCAGAAGGGAATGAACAGGAGGAGAAACAAAATACAATGCAGCATAAACTTTAATGAATAAAAAGAGGGGAAGAAAGCAGTGCATCCTGAAAGAGACAATGTCCAGGCTGCTACAAGGGCACCTGACACTCAGGCACCACTTCACAGCAGCAGGACAAGCATCTTTCTCCGATACACATGTGCAGAGGGTCGAAATCAGAAACCCTCTCAACTTGATTCAGGAGGAACACATGGCACAGGACAGCAGGAGACAAAAGGGACTCATGTTTCAGATAGCAAAGCAGGAGAAGACTTCAGCTGGCTATGTTTCCAGACAGCGCAGGCTGGCACCTTGCTTGTCTCCCTCCCTTGCAGAAGGACACAAGGATTTTCAGCCTGCCTGGGAACTCTGGCCAGCAGCAATGTCTTCAGTCCGGCACCTGGCTTTGGGCATCCTGCTCCATGCACTCACTAGACATCCAACCTGGCTTTAGCAGGGCAGGCTCCTTCTGCCACAGTAGCGGCCACCAAGACCAGAGAGGCTGAAGCCCCCAGAGTTGATGGGCACTCCCTCCTCACTCAGGATGCTGCCAACAGCAGCAGAGGTGGAGGATCCCACGGCGGTGTTCTGGGGGAAGGAGCTGAGGATGGGTCCGGGCAGGGTCACCACCACAGGAGAGGGCTGGATCACCACACGGGAGTCCTGGCACTGCCTGACACAGGGCTCGTTGCAGCTGTTGGCCAGTGGGGTTGGCCCACAGGGACGGCACAGATCGTAGCAGGACATGGCTGTGGGATGGAGTTGGACCTGGGAGAGAGGGCAGGGAAAACACAGGCAGCATGTGAAGGGTAGCCTGACAGCCTGCTCAGCCGGAGCAAAGGCACAGGCTTGGAAGCAGGGACATCCTCAGTAGGGAAAAAGGGAGTTTAAAGACACCCAATTCTGAACACAAACAAAGAGAAAGAAGCTCTGTAAATCTGGAAGACAGAGGAGAACAGGAGAATAAGAGTGGGAAAGGGCAGTTGTTTCTCACCTTGCTCACCAAGGAGGAGAAGTCAGGAGTAGTGGATGACAGAAACTGCAGCTGGACTGGCTTTTATACTGCTTCAGACTGCCCCAGGCCCAGAGGCACCTTTTGAGCATGTAATATGTTTACCAGCAAGCTCATCTTACATGCAAATCATCACAATTAAAGAAATGGGGACGCTGTTTATGTTCCCTGCAACTCTGCCTTTTCATTTCCTTGTTCATTATGAGCCCATTCAGCCACACAGGCTCCTTTCAACTTTAAGCATTATAGGCCATAATATTTTTGGGGAAGACACAGTAGTGAAGGGAGAAAGGCAACAAGGAGATAGCCTGAGTAGCTGATGCTAGCACCTCACCTTCCTGGAGCTTATTTTCAAGTTTTGTTCCAAGTTGTGGAGCCTCATGGTTTGATACTTATTAAAGGTTAGACTTCTAACAAATCTGCCATGGAAGGACCAACAAATTCCTCTGCTTTGCCTACTGACCAGCTCAGGCTGTTTCAGACACCATTTTTCCAAGCATATCCTTGTGATTTCTGTGCTTCTATGATATCAATCATTGCTCTTTGGAGTTACAAGCATGGCTGTTTTTGTTCTCACTGATAGCAAAATCATCTAGACGGCCCAGTCACAGAGGCAGCTTTTATCAGGGACATTGTTCTGCCACAGCCAAGTATTGGATCACCATTCCTGTTAAATTGGGATGTCCCCCCAAAACAAAATTCTGGGTACCAAATACATCCGATTTCCTCCTCCCCATGGTCCATCTCTCAGCTTCTACTCAACATATCAACATGAGACCACACATGGCTTCAAAGACTCAGCAAGATTTCTGTGCAACTTGTAACCTCCTCAGAAGTAAGTGACTTCTAGCAGTGATGGCAGAGCAGCTGATGTCAGGATTTCCACAGAGAGGTGTTCCAAGTGAAGGATTCAATGCTCTACACTGCATTTTCTGGGACAGAACAGGAGCTGAATGTTGCCAGCAGGAATGACAGTCCTGCCTGGGGCACCAGCCACATTCCTCTGACACCCCAACTGGGTCTTCATTTCAAAGAGTGGACAAAACTCCTTCCCCTATTAGGCTGGGACTTTTCAAGAGAAGCAACTCTCTAATCACAGAGGCCCACACTAAATTCCTCATGTGAGATGGTGAGCAGAGCTTAGAAGTTTGCATTGATTTACCTGACAAGGACAGCAAAAATCCATCTACCCAGAAATGCTGTCAGGGCTCAGTGAGTGCAAGCTATTCCCTCCAGAATGGGAGGCAGGAGATAAGCATCATTACAAAGGCAGGAGGAGAGAAACCTCACCAGCAATGGCCCCACTGCACAGTATCTGAGCAAGGAAAATGCCCAGACTCTAGACAGATGCATCCAGAGTCCAGGTCAACCATCAAGCTCGTGGTGATGTGACATAAGGCAACACAGTTACTCCATACATTAGGAGCAGATCCCTGGATGCTAACCTGGGCCACAAAGCTCATCAGCTGCCAATGAAGGCCATAATAACCAGACAGACCCAAGCACAGGCTGGGAATTCCATCCACAACTGAGGGTCTGGATGAAGGAGGTCCAGATCAAGGGGGTCAGGCATACACAAATGTGCTAAAAACCAGGAAGCTCACACTCCTACTGCTAAGCTGAAGAAAAGGATAAGGGCTCAGTACAGAGCTTAAATAGAGAAGTGGGTTAAAGGGGAGTGGGAGGACTGAGAGACCCCAGGTGAGGCTCATCATGGCCATTGGCCTAGGAGTTCCTGCACTTGGCCATTGATGTTCAAGAAGAGGAAATCTCTTCTGCACCTGGGACACAGCACACCAGCTCCATCTATGACCACAGTGTGGGGGGAGGGACCTTTTCTTCAAGAGAGCAAGTTTACATTCATTGTGTATGTGCAAAATCGGTCCTTTCTTCTAAGCATCCTTTCAATCCCACCGCTGCCTCAGAAAATCTGTTGGTAGAGTCTCCTGCCAGACCTGTATATTCCCATGTCCAATGCCGATGGTGAGGGTCTGCTCAAAGTCTCCAGTGCCCTGCTGCACCCTCCTCTCTCTTATCACATGCAACTAATGCTGCTTTCCCTTCCTAGTATGATCTTTTCAGCACACCTTGCTTCTGCTGTCATCTCAGCATGGCTCGTCAGTGTTGGTGGACAGTGCACTCATTATGTGTCTTCCTGCACAGAAGGACACAGAGAGTTTTGATTACAGTGGCTTTAATTAATGAAAGGCAGGCTTTTACCTCTGAGAAGGGCATGTAGGGATCCTCACAGTGTATGGGACAGCAAAAGAGATGTCCTTCATTCAACATGAAGCAAGACTGAGAACCACAGAGCAAAATATCACTTGTGAAAGAGTAGAAGATAAGGGAGGAAAGAATAGGCAGCTTGTCCTCTTTGTCTTGGAGTTATGGAAATCATCGCAGGAGTATGCTCCCAGAAACAGCAAGCCTAGTGTTCAGGGCAAAGGGGTATGGATGACCTTAGGTAGGCATGCAAAGAACAGTGATATCTAGGTGACCGTTTCAGTGGGACTTCCCTTCTCCAAATCCCCCACGAAAGATATGAATCTTCTACGTGCTTTTAGGGAAACCTTTCCCTGGTATAGCATCGCCTTTTTCCCTACCCCATTTAGATTGCAATCGCAGAAGGGAAGGAACACGAGGAGACTCAAACTACAATGCAGCATAAACTTTAATGATTCTAAAAAGAGAAAAAAAGCAGTGCATCCTGGAAGGCATGCCATCCAGGCTGCTACAAGGGCACCTGACAGTCAGGCACCTCTTCACAGCAACAGGACACACGCCTTCATCTCACACACAGGGAGAGAGTGGTGATCAGAGACACTCTCAGCTTGCTGCAGGATGAACACATGGCACAGGACAACAGGAGGCAACAAGGATTCATGAAGTGAGAAGAAAGCAGGAGAAGAAGACATCAGCTGGCTGTGAATCCCGATGGCACAGGCTGACACTTTGCTTGTCTCCCTCCCTTGAAGGAGGAAACAAGGATGCTCAACCCATCTGGAAACTGGCCAGCAGCAATGTCCTCAGTCCGGCACGTGGCTTTGTGAGTCCTGGTCCATGCACTCTCTGGAGACGTCCAGCCTGGCTTTAGCAGGGCAGGCTCCTTCTGCCACAGTAGCGGCCACCAAGACCAGAGAGGCTGAAGCCCCCAGAGTTGATGGGCACTCCCTCCTCACTCAGGATGCTGCCAACAGCAGCAGAGGTGGAGGATCCCACGGCGGTGTTCTGGGGGAAGGAGCTGAGGATGGGTCCGGGCAGGGTCACCACCACGGGAGAGGGCTGGATCACCACACGGGAGTCCTGGCACTGCCTGATACAGGGCTCGTTGCAACTATTGGCCAGTGGGGTTGGCCCACAGGGACGACACAGATCATAGCAGGACATGGCTGTGGGATGGAGGTGGACCTGGGAGAGAGAGCAGGGAGAGCACAGGCAGTGTGTGAGGGGCAGCCTGCTCAGCCAGAGCAAAAGCACAGGCTTGGGAGCAGGGACAGCCTCAGTAGGAAGGAAGAGAGGTTAAAGAGCCCTGAACCCAAACCACATGCTGGAAAGAAAGCTGATGGCGTCCCACCTCCCTACATTGAAAAACAAATTGAACAGAAAAGATGGGAACAAAATTCAGGAACAAGGCTCTCATCAAAAGCTACTGTGATGCAATGATTCAGTTAAAGTCAAAAGACAAAGAGCAGAACAAGACAAGAAGAGTGCGGAAAATTCATTTGCAGCTCACCTTGTTCACCAAGGAGGAGAAGGCAAGAGAAGTGGATTAGGGTGCCTTCTGTTAGCATGGCTTTTATACTGGTCCATACTGCTCCAGGCCCAGAGGCATCCTTTGAGCATGATAATGTGTTTACCAACAAGATCATATTTTATGTTAATCATCCCACTTAAGTAAATGTGGTGGTTGTTTTTGTTCCCTGCAACACTGCCTTTTCATTTCCCTGTTTGTGACGTGCCCATTAAGCCATATATGCTCCTTTCAACTGGCACTATTAGAGGCCAAAATGTTTCCTGGCAAATTTACAAGAAATTCAGCAGATAGTTCAATCAGCTGGGTGGAGTGGTGCCATATATTCAGGTGATGTCAGCATCTCACCCTCCTGAGGCTCCCTTCTTGCTTTTATTGTAATGAATGCAGGATTTTTTTTCCATATAGACATAGGATTAAAAGGCAGGATTCTGTTATGCTGGGCCTGGCCCAATCCAGGTTTGTGCCTCCAGGATCTTTTTAGCTTTCTTAGGCATCTTTTTGCCTTTTGAATTTTCTTTGGTATTTTCTTTGGTATTTTCCACTGCCCTTAGAAGGAATAGGCTTGTCTTGTTTGCCCCTCGCATCTTTCAGCATAGCCTGGAGTTGCCCAATCAGCAGAACAAGAATGTTTCAGAATGAATAATGATGTTGCTTTCCCACAGCTAGCCACTGCTCTTACCTTTCCAAAACCACTCCCTCACAAAAATGTCTTCTGGCTTAAAAACTCTTCCTTCTTCCATTCCCCCTATACATTCCTCAACCTCTTTTTTGTCCTTTCATAGAGTTCCAAATACCCAGCAAGGTTTAAGTTCAATAAAAAACTCTCTGCATTACCAAGAGAGGGCTGGCAGTGCCAGCAAAGACAGGCTGGAGAGCAGCAGATGTCAGGATCTCTGCAGAGAGGCATTCCAAGGGAAGGATTCAATGCTCTACCCTGTACTTCTGGAGCGAGACAAGGGCCAAATGTTGCCAAGAGGAATGACAGTCCTGCCTGGGGCACCAGCCACATTCCTCTGACACCTCAAGTGGGTTCTCACTGCAAAGGGTGGACAAAACCGCTTCTCCAATTAGGTTGGGACTTCATTTGAGACAGACAACTCTCTAATCATAGAAGTCCCAGCCAAATTCCTCATGGTAGAAGATGAAGACAGCTTTTAGGTTGACAGGAGATACTTAGCAAATTAAACATGCATGCAGAAGAAATGCCCAGTGTGACTGCAAAACAGCAACCCTACATGTTTCTTCATGCAGGTCTTCAAACATGAAAGCATTTTTATTATGCTGAGATCATACTGCACACCAGTTTTCTATCCATGGTACTTCCACTTAAAAACATTCCACAAGCAAAACGTTCAAAGCAAAGAATCTATTTCCTACTTTTGTCCATTCTCCCCAGCTCAGTCCCCCATACTGAAGGTCTACATAAAGGCTCAAGCATGCTGAAACACCCTGCTCCTATGAGCATGCACTGAGGATGTTGCCTTCTTCCCTTTTATGACTTTTTGACCATACCTCTTCTAATGGATCAGCATGGCTTACAACTATGGATGGGAGTGCATTTCTGCAGGGTTTCCTAGCAGATAAAAACAAAAGGATATTTTGAGCTATAGTTTTCTTTCAGGGAAGACCAGAAGACACCCACCTGGTGCAAACATGTACACTTAACACCAAGGAAGTTCATATGAGTAGTTTCTGACTGTGACTGTAGGGCAGTTACAAATGGTACCCTGTTAAAAATAGACCATGGAAGAGACGGAAAAAGAAAAAAATTGAAAATCAGTGTTTAATTCCTTTTAGGAAGTTGCTCTGACTGACACCAGTCCCTTCAATTTATTTGGAACTCCCTTTGTACCCGGGGTTTTCAAGAAGGCCTTTGAGCAGGGAAGGGCAAGGACCAATTAGAAGCAGTAACACACAATCAGAGGCTTGGGCAGGTGGGTGTTAGCAAGCAACAGAAGGTCAGTGGCTTGCCTCATCAATTGGAGGCAGTATCCAAGCTTGATTGTTGTTGCTCACATGTTCCCTTGGGGAGCTTCTGGCAAGACTTTGTGTGTTCAGACCACACCAAACTACCCTCCACCACCCAATCTCTTTTCCAATGAGCATAGACCTGTGGTACTCAGCTCCTCCAGGCACAAGACATGCAAACCATTGCCCCTAACCCACTCATTTTCTTCCTCTCTTGGGTATTCCATTTCCCACTGCACATCTTGGCTGGGTATCCCAGGAGTGAAGGAACACAAGGAGAAACAAACGACAATGCAGCATAAGCTTTAATCAGCAAAAAGAGAGAAACAAAGCAGGACATCCTGGAAGAGATGCCATCCAGGCTGCTACAAAGGCACCTGAAACTCAGGCACCTCTTCACAGTAGTGGGACAAGTGTTTTCCTTCCCCTTGCATGGAGAGAAGGCAGTAAGCAGGGACCTTCTCCAGTTGCTTCAGGATGAACCCATGGCACAGGACAGCAGGAGGTAAGAGGGACTCATAATGTGGAGGAGAAAGCAGGAGAAGAAGACATCAACTGGCTGGGTTTCCAGACAGCGCAGGCTGGCACCTTGCTTGTCTCCCTCCCTTGAAGGAGAGAACGAGGATGCTCAACCCATCTGGGAACTCTTGCCAGCAGCAATGTCCTCAGTCCAGCACCTGGTTTTGGGCTTCCTGGTCCATGCACTCACTGGAGACATCCAGCCTGACTTTAACAGGGCAGGCACCTTCTGCCGCAGTAGCGGCCACCAAGACCAGAGAGGCTGAAGCCCCCAGAGTTGATGGGAACTCCTGCCTCACTCAGGATGCTGCCAACAGCAGCAGAGGTGGAGGATCCCACGGCGGTGTTCTGGGGGAAGGAGCTGAGGATGGGTCCGGGCAGGGTCACCACCACAGGAGAGGGCTGGATCACCACACGGGAGTCCTGACACTGCCTGATACAGGGCTCGTTGCAGCTGTTGGCCAGTGGGGTTGGCCCACAGGGACGGCACAGATCATAGCAGGACATGGCTGTGGGATGGAGGTGGACCTGGGAGAGACAGCAAGGGAAGCACAGGCAGCGTGTAAAAGGCAGCCTGACAGCCTGCTCAGCCAGAGCAAAGGCACAGGCTTGGGAGCAAGAATAAGCTTCTTAGGGAAAAAGAGAGGATTAGAATCCATAGCCCCACAGTTTTCCTGTAAACAGACCCCAAGTTTTTCATGCACCTCCCTGCAGTTCACCAAGGTGAACACAGATGCTGGCAGCACAACCAAGTTGCAAGGCTTACAGCAAAAGCTGCATGGAAACAAAGACGCAGTTGGAGCTGGAAGACAAAGAGAAAAAAGAGAAAGACACGAAAAAGGCAAAGTTTGTTGCAGCTCACCTTGTTCAGCAAGGAGGAGAAAGCAAGAGAAGTGGATGAGGGAGCCTGCAGTTGGACTGGCTTTTATACTGGTGCAGACCTCTCCAGGCACACCCTTTGTGCATGCAACGTGTTTACCAACATGCTCATCTTGCATGCAAAGCATCATAATTAAAGAAATTGGGACATTGCTTATGTTTTCTGCAATGCTTCTTTTCCATTTCCCTGTTCATGACGTGCCCATTCTGCCACATAGACTCCCTTCAACTGATACTTTTAGATGCCAAAATATTTCCAGGGGAAATGACACGTCAGCACAGACAGATGATGCAGCCAGTGATGACGAGTGCCCCACTTTGCCAGATGAAGTCAGCCCCTTGCCCTCCAGGGCCTCACTTTAAGGATTCTCATGTTGAGTTGGGCATGTTTTCTGGCTACCCTAAATACAAGGCCAGAATTAGAGATAATTTTCTGTGACAGGAGTCACCATACCTATTGAACAACATAATACCTAACTCCATCCAAGTGAGGATAGCCTCCAGCAGCTTCTGATCAACAGAAGGATGTTTGAAAAACAGAAATACTTTTCTCCAACACATACTATTTCCACTCACACCCGAACCCCACCAGCACCAAAGATATGTACTGGGGCTTCCCAAGTGTTCCTTCTTCATACCTAAGGCTACCAAACATTTCTTCTTTGAGCCCACACCCTAACTCAATGACAGGCATTGCAAGCAGCTTGGAAAGCTTTCCATGAGACATTGGAGCTCATAACAAATACTAGCCTAGGAACATATGCCAGAACATGCTGGACACAAGTAGACATCAGGATCTGTTTTCTCTTCCCAGGCATCTAAGTGCACTCAGACATGCAGTTTCCCACTGGCCTGTAGTAGTAACACTGTCAGTGCCCACAGTGAGGATCTGATGAAAGACTCCAATGCCCTGCTGCACCCTGCTCTCTCTGATTACATGCAGTTGATGCTGCCTTCCCTCCCTGGTATGATCTTTTCAGCCTACCTTGCTTCTGCTGTCAGATCAGCATGGCTCATGAGTGTTGGTGGACAGCGCATTCCCTGAGGGAATGCACAGAAGGGCACAGGGTTTTTGCTGACAGCAGCTGTCGTTCAGAAAAGGCAGGGCTTTAGCTCCAGGGAAAGGTAGTGTAGGGGTTCCCACAGCGTACGTGACAGTACAGGAGGTGCTCCTCACTCTATCTGAAGCAGGAGTTCTGGGGCATGTGGCAAATATCACCAGTGGAGGATTAGAGGATAAGGCAGGAAGGGAAAGGCAAATTGTCCTCTCCTACATCAACAGCTACGTGCCAAATCCATGCATGAGCAAGGTTACTTCCCACCCTGATGTCTGTGGACTTGCTATTGAGAGCAGAAAGGCAGGAAGACATGATGGCTGCATCCTGGAGGGTTTGTTTTTTTCCATCCTCCAGTGTTCAAGGGCAAGGGATAGAGAAAGACTTGCTAAATGCCCTCAATTGAGTGTCATGGGGCATGGGTCATGTAGCCTTCAAAGCTGTGACTGTGATGCTATGCCAGCATTCCTAAAGTACTTCTGAAATGGGCTGGGTGGGACACACAGAGACTGGGGGCAGAAAGGAAGGATTACATCCCCTTTGGCATCTGTCACGTATCTTGGAGCCATGGAAGGCTTTGCATGGGTTTGTTGATAGACACAAGTCAGATGATCAGGACAGAGGGATGTGGTGTCTTTAGATATCTTTGTCACATGTAAGGGACAGTGTCCTCTATCTGACTATTTCAGTGAGACACCCACTCTCAGACCCTCAGATGAATGGAAGTGCACCACATCCTTTCAGCCTGTTTGGGATCACATTTGCTAATGCAGACTACTATTGTACACTGGGCTGCTTTAGAGCAGGTTGAGATAGTTGATCCTTCCCCTTCCCTCAGCATTCGTGAGGCCACTCCAGGAGCTCCATGTACAGTTCTGGGCTCCTCAGTGTAAGAGAGACATGGACACACCAAAAGGGAGTAAAATGAAAGTCCATGATGAGTGAAAATTAAATTTAAAAGATGATTAAGGGACTAGAGCATCATATATATGAGGAAAAACTGAGAGCTGAGAAGTGCAGCCTCTCAGGGATGGTGCTTGTTCATCTGTTGAAATACCTGAAGGTATTTCAAGGAGGAAGGAATTGGGCTCTTTTCAGTGAGGCCATTGAAAAAAACAAAAGGCAATGGGGCAAGAATGAAACACAAAAAGCTCTCAAATACTTTTTCATTGTGTTACTGAGCACTGGAACAGGCTGCCCAGGAAGATAAAGAGTTTAGATCCTTGAAGACAACAAAAAGCAATCTGGGTCAAAAACAATTGGCTCCAGATTGAACTCATTGAACAACAGGTTGGACTAGGCAACCTCCAAAAGCAGCT